TTTCCGAGCTGCTTGCGCATATTCTTTTCGGTGCTTATGACCTCCCTTTGCTTAGAGATTCTATCTACTAATCTCTCTATTCTTCTCTTCTATTTACTATTCTATCTTTAATATTACCTTTACCCAGTTAGCTGCTTTGTTTTGATTCCACATGCGTCTCCAAAGCTAAAGCGATTTCTCCCAGTTAGGACCAAAGCTCTCTGCATTAGTTGCGGGTTTGTTCAGTGCCTCAAGTTTTCTGCAGAAGGTTTTAGCATTTTCAACGAAGGTTCCGCCCTGTTTGTACCGCTCGAATCTGTTTGAGTACGTCCACGGCTGTGCCGGTTCCGCTGACAGTCTCTGCATAGCCTCCTCGCCAGCAGCTCTGACAGTTTTGTGTGGTCAGATCGATTCCTTCGTTGTAGGTGTGTGTCTTCCTATGTGTTCTTAGTTCTTCTACGCCGAGGTGACTTCTCGGATTTCCTTCCAGCTTAGAGCAAAATTTCTTCTTTATCACAAAATCTGTCGCACAGGTCTCACCACTGATGGATTCCAATGGACTTGGAACTCACTCTTTGGAACTCACTACTGTATTTACGCATTTTTTCTTGCCTCTAAAACGAGGGATGCGCCTCGTACTCGGTTCAAACTCCCGAAGGATCGCCTGCCGAAGCGATTTTTCTTTATCATTATGTTGCACAGCTTCTGTCACGTCAGCCATTCCGACCTCTGGTCTCAGGCTTGTCCGGGGTGATTTTACAAAAATATATTCAGCTGGTTGATCGCCTTGCACAGTTGTGTCACTCCAAGCACTCTTCTGATCTCATCAAGCTCCAATTCTTTAATCAATGTTCTTCTCAGTGAGTCGTTGGTGGTCTTCTAAATGTTGCTCGCTTGCACCACTGAGAGGGTAGACCTTCTTCCATTCTTCCAGCATTCCTTTTCGATAACTCCTACCCTGTTTCACAGCGATACAGTACCTCGTTATAACGTTATTCTTGCGACCAAACTGTTCACCCACCCATCGTCACTCTGCAACGTCCTCAGGTACAGAAAGATTTGAAAAAGTTACTTTGCTTCCTGATGACGGACTGCTTCAGTTCCTCATCATCCTGCTACATCCTTGATCGATTGATTGATTGATTGAATGATTCGTAGACCAATCCGGTCGATGAACATTTTCATTGAACATTCATAATGCGCAGATGCTCGATCGCACCAAGTCTGACCCATCGTCTTAAACCTGTCCAGCGTGGGTGGTTCTACCAGAAACTGAAGCTTTGAGAGTAAGTGAGGCACGCAAGTCCGCCGCCTCCTCCAGGCTGTGACCTCGGCTTCCTACACAATTTCGGCTTTTACGTAGATTAAATGTCATACGTCAATAAACACAGTAATTTGAACAAATTCTTCTGGCGGCAGTCGATGAAAATCAGCATTGCAAGGCACATGATCCATGACGTCTGTTCAAGAGGACTGCAAACGATATGTTTTGTGAAACATTTAATGATCAGTCTGACGAGGGGGGACAGACAATCGATTTAGTAGCAGAAAACGTAAAAAATGAAAAGAACAGAGTCCGATGCCGAGCCTCAGAAACTTGACGAATCAGTCAAGCAAAATACTTAAACAACATGAATATTTCAGATGAAGTTAATATCGCATGCGCTGGAATCGCCAACTGTTTAGCATACCCTGTTCCAGCAAAATATGGACTATTCAAGTAATCGTTTGACACTGCTTCCCATACGCCAGCGGGCTGCAAAAATGAATCAAAGAATGGAGGAGAGAAAGAATGAATGGAGGGGGGACAAATAGAGAATGATAGATAAACAAACAGATCGATGGGTTGTTAAACAGTTAGATAGAGAAATAGACGAATGGATAGATAGTAGAATGGATGAACCGATTAAACATTTTACCTAATACATGGCTAACGCAAAAAAAGAACCAATGCCGAATTCTCATTCAACTACAGTTCAGGACTGCACATTTGCATTCGCAATTATATAACTCCACGACGTCAAGTTTGCTGCGGAAACACCCTTATACTTTCAGATTTTTGAGAGATCCCTAGCGCGCCCTTTTTTCAGGATATATTCAGACAAGGAAACGTCAACATGCATTTTATCAGGGACAAATACGAAGTAATATAATTTTTAATTTCTTTCACTGACTTTAATAAATGATAAAGGATACATTCGTCCTCCTGAGCGAAGTAGTTCTGAAAACGTCACAAAACCCGTCTTCTATTAATCTTCATCCTCAAGGAAAACAGTGACAGCTATTAGAACTCGAATTTGATGTGGCACTGGCGCTGAGGCTTAAGTTAGTGTCCAGTAACCTGTTTAATGCAATAGTCAGCCTCTGAGACAAACTCATACAAACCTATGTCAACGGACAGCAATGAGGTCGGGTAAACGTGTGATCCGTAAGTGGACCGTAGTGATGCATGACTTTACTACTGAAACCGAACCAAGAACAGGTTGAATGAATTCCAGAACCACGGATCAGACGAAGAGAAGAAATAGCTAAAGTCTAAACCGTTAGAATCTTCCCAACTTCTTGTTCATCTGACCCTCTCGTTTTCTTCGGGAAAAATCAGGACTGCAAGCCAAAGCTAAATGTAATCGAAATTTTAAGGCAGTGTTCTCCGTCATCCGTAAATATTGTGCAATTATATCCGTATGTGGATAACGTAAAAGATCCTGTGAAAAAAATATGAAATGATCAATTGCCATATGGCACAAAGTCTGGTAAGCCTAGCTTGGGACCGGCGATTGGGCGTATGTGGTCTTTCACGAACCCGTGGGAAAATTTCGAGCTCACCTCTGACAAGTTTCTTCCTCGTGCCAAAGTCGTGACGTCGGAACGCGCTCCAACGGACGAGTACGCGACCGCCTGAGGTACAGGGACAATGTGGACTTTGCGCAGGACCTATCGCTACTGCGATGCCTTTAAGCCGGTCACACTTTGAAGAGGCGGCTCACCGGGAGTGCCAACACTGACCGCTGCTTTGTGACCCTGTTTTCGACCGGCATGCAGGTGCAGGCAATAATCGCAACGCGTTCGGGAGGCCGAAGAAAGCAATCGCGTCGCATCTGAACGGACGAGGGCAGCGGGATGGAAAGAAGCCGACTGGTGACCCGTGAAGCTAAACTCGAGGAACAAAGCTACATGGCTTATGAAGGGCTCCTTCGAGTAGCAGCGAAGTTTGTCAACAAGACGATGCTCGCTGTCATCGCCTCGAAAAGCATTCCTGTCCGCGATGTTAAGCT